GAGAATTATAAATTCTGGTATAAAAGGGTGAAAGGAGATGATGCTCTTCCCATGCATTTCTGTATCTCAGACACTATTCATGGGAAGACCCATCAAGGAAGCATCACAAATTCACCCTGAGATACACCTGTGTGGGAAATTTAACACTTAGCTTGAAAAATACTAAAAGTATACTTTGAAAATAGTAAATGTAACACAATATGTTACTTATTATTTTGATCAGTAGAAAATAGCAGGGTAAAGAATAATTTGAAACTTTTCAGAAGCTAAATAAGAGAAACATTAATAAAATTGAAATTTTCACAAGAACTGTGAAATAATTTTGAAAGAAACCTTTACAAATTTGTTTCTTTGAAACAAAGTTTTTAATCAATCAGGCTGTCTGGTTTATGAAACGAAATCTCACACAGTGATCAGAGATCTGCCAGGAGAGCACAGCCCTGAACAGCCTCCGCTTTGTGACTTCTCCAACTTGAACGAGTCACTCTCTGCTTCGCACACTCTCTCTCTTTCTCTCTCTCTCTCTCTCTCTTTCTACCTCTCTCTCTCTCCCTCTCAACTTCCGTTTTTCCATAGCATGTGTTAAAAAATATAAACTGGGTAAATATTTGACTTATATAATGTTAGAAAGCAACGTAAGGGGCTGGAGATTTAGCTCAGCGGCATAAGCACCTGCCTTGCAAGCAGGCAGTCGTGAGTTCGATCCCCAGTACCGATAAAAAGTTAAAAAAAAAAAAAAAAGCAACGTAAGATAATAGAATCAACATGATAGCAAGTGATTTAATAGGTAGTTATGTACTTTATATATCCAAAATTATTATTTTCTTCTGTGTTTCTAGTGGAGTAATCATTACTCAGAAATTATGCTTTTCTAAAGCCTCGTGAATCTGGTGTCCAGAATTAAAATAACTATCTATCAGTTATAATGAAGCATCAGTTATAAAGAAGTCTTCTTTAAAACATAAGATGGGGTCTTTTATTTTCAGCTCACTATATGTCCATTTTAAATATTTAAACTGAAACATTAGATTTGATAAATTCCTTGAATACACACATAAGAGAAAAATCATGGAAACAAAATAAAGTTACATTAGCGAACTATTAGCACACTATGGACTGTTTCTAAACTGTCATTATTTTTTGTAGGTTTTGCTGAAACCAATGACAATTTCAAACCTTGCTTCAGCCATTTTTCATCTTTATTCAAGAGAAAATGTGATGTTCACAAATTCAGCTCCTGTCTCTTCTCCCTTTACACTTCATACTCATGTCATTTAATTTTTATGATGCTTGCACAATAAAGTCAACTGAATGCAACTGAATGTCTTAACTTCAGAAGGGACTGTGGAGGTGGCCTCAAGGCTCTGTAAAGCTTTACCTGCAAAGGAAGCACAGTATGAATTTGAGCACACAGTTTGCCCGCAGGCAGGGATCACAGTTTTGCTGAGTCTTCAGTGTGACCCACAATCTAACAGTGCTTCATAACTGTTTCTAGGCTACCACTGGAACACTGAAACTTCCTAAGCTGTAGAGACCAGAAAAGAACTAAACCATGGTGTCTCAGCCCAGATGAGGACCGCAGAGGGACTCCTGGGAACATCAAATTTCAGGATCCAAATGTGAGGCCAGCACACTCTCAAGAGCAAATTCCAGGCAGAGGCAAGCTACAGATGATCACAGCTACAAATACAGATGCATCATGAAATGTTGGAAATTCATGGAAATCCTAAGTATGTGTGACCAGTTTCCTCCAGGCTAGAAGCCACAGCCTCGCACACAGTGTGTCTACACACCATTTGTTGTGTCTAATTACACACACACACACACACACATGCCTGGGAGCTTCTATGTCTGAGATCCTCAATCACAAAAAAAAAAAACTAATGAGTTTTAAAAGTTTAGGTACATGGCATAGTTTTTCCCTTAAACAAACATTGCAAAAAAATCAGTAGGTCACTTTTGTGCTTGGTCCATAAGCACAAAACTGACCTACTAAGTAAAACCACTCATCTATATATATATGTATATATGTATATATATATATATATATATATATATATATATATATATATATATATATGTTTTCACAAACATTATAGTTAGCAGTTTTTTACAGGCTTTTACCTGCTCTCTGTCTCAAATGCTAGCATCACAGCAAGAGGTATGGCCAGGAATGTAGTATACTTTAGCACCGTCTGCTATCACCACTAACAATGTTGTTAATTTCTTGAAAAAGTCATACATTCAAGTGGTAAAGTTTAGTTTGTTAGTTTTTAAAAAGTCACCTACTGCATACAAGGTATTATGAAAAGTGTGGAGATATGAACAGTAACAATATTTAGCAATAGTAATTATTAACAATTACATAGCACACACTTTACACCATCAACCTTCTATTTCTGCATATTTAGTGTGTACCTACAGGCTGCATATTTTTGTTGTGGTAGTGGTGGTTATAAAGCTTGTGCTTTCAAAAAGCTGCTAACCCTATACTGCAGAAAGTCTCAAGGACACAACTGCACTGGAAACCAGCACTTAGCAAAAAAATCCGGAAATTAATTATAAAAACTAAACAAAAATACCCGTTTTTCAAAAAAATTGTAATAATATTCATGTTAATAAATAATTTAAAGCAAAGCCTATGTTGCAGATTCATGGGATAAAACAAAGGTACAGGAAGAGGTAAAATACTGTCTCAGTTTGCAGTAGTATGTGGGCATTACAACAGACTTGGCAAGTTAAGTCTATTTATGTACCCAGAAATTAATAAAATGGATTCCAAATGATACATAAAAATATAAAGACATCTTAGTTTTAAAACAAAATATATTTTTCTTTGATAAAATGAAAAAGAAAATACTTATAATTAAAATTTATAATCTAGGCCCAGAGATATAGTTCAGCAGCACACCTGACTGGCAAGTGTGAGGTCATAAGTTCAATACCCAGGATCAAAAAATAAAGAAAATAAAATTTATAATCTAGAAAAAAGGATTTTACAATACTCTCAAATAGATACTCGCAAGTTCATACAGATAAAACACTTAAGCAATAGGGATAAAAGCATCTTTATTGACATTACTCATTGTCGTTACTAATTCTTTAAAACATTGCATGGTCATAAAATTTCATGCAGAAAATAATATTGAACATTGCAACACAAATTTTATTGTCCTGTACTTGTTACATCTTATGCAATGAGACTCACGTGGAACCCTTTTGAGCATGCATGTAATTAAATGCTGGGTAGCAGATGTCACAGTCAGTATGCATTTTAAATGCCAATTTTGGGTTTATACAGAAAGTGTACATAGAAACTTTTATTTTATTAAATACATAAAATATAGAAAATATATTTGAAATAAACTTTTTAAATTTAAAAGTTGCTAACGTAAAGTCTTAAAATACATCCCAATTATATATCCACACTAAATTTGATAAAAGTCAGATTAATGAAATCCCAAGAGTGCTAGATGATTGCAACAGTAGACAAGTAGAATTTCCAGCAGAATGAAGAGTTAGTTTTTGAAAAGTTAAAATGGTCAAAGGAAGTAGTGCCCCCAGTGCGAACTATTTAGTTGAACAAAACATTCCATTCTATCATCACTTTCTCCAATTCCAAGGTAACATGTGTATCACTGAATTAGAGATAAAGAACAAATGCTTATCGAGTATTACATTATTTTTCCTTCATGAAATATCTGATTAAATATTAAGTCGTCATTTTCTGGTTCATTTTTTTCTCTTTCTCCTCAGAAAAACAAATTAGAGATAGAAGATAATTTTAGTTTCCTGGCTAAACTGTTAATATATGTTGATAACCACTCACTCATTCCTAGCACTTTAAAGATTTCCAACACTATCTGTGCAGGTGATACCGGGGAGGGTTCCTTTTAGTAGACACGTGATTTTAGTTTATCTCTCCCAGGGATGCACTAAGTCACGTGTGAGATTTTATATAAACTCTAGTCATTTTGTTTGCATAAGCTTGATATGTGAAGAGGTTGTTCTATTTAAAAATTAACATTCAAGAAGTTTTTCAAGAAATATGAACTTCTAAATTATACTTTACCATTAGTTAAGGATACTTCCTCCAGAATTAACACCTTCAATGGAATTATGCTCTTATAAGCAAAATCATTATGAAAATAAGATTTGTCATGATGAAAGCTAGCTTTGATTATCATTCCATAGTTATTTTAAACTATGAATATTTGTTTTATGAAACCAAGAACGTAACTGAAGGGACATAATACAGCCAGAACCATCTTCATAATTTTTCTATGCCTAACAGCTGATGAAATCTCAACGTAAGAGTTTTCTCTTATTTTCAGTCACCTGAGAGTATCAGAAAGTTTAGTGTTTTCTCTCGTTGCCTTTGTATCCAACCATGATTCTGAAGAAATGCTCCTAGAGTGAGATCAGAAGTAGCTATTGAAATAGCAAAATACACAAGTTTGTACACACAATCTGCCTAAATTTGTATTCAAAGCTTATGGACACATTTGATATTACAGTTTCTCCAAGGCTCCACTCTATGGGTGCAAGTACTTATATCACCTTAGTTCTGTTTTTAGATTTTAACACTTTTTGTTGAGCTGTGTGTTTTTTAGTTTTGTTATTTAAGGTCTTCAACTTCTTTCTGGAGGTATGTGCTCTAAATTTCTTTGCGTGTAAATATAACCCAGAATTTTTCTATAAATTACCACTGATTCATTGGAAAAATACCTAATTCAATTTACACATATGGGATACAGATAACTCAAAATACAGCATCACCAGTTCATAGTATATCTTCATTCAGTTGTGTTTTTGGGTTTTTTTTTTTTTTTTTAATCTGTACTGGGGATCGAACTCAAGATTGCCTGCTTGCAAGGCAGGTACTTATGCCTCTGAGCTAAATTCCCAGCCCTCCATTCAGTTGTTTTTAACACATTTATTTCAAAAGAGAAGACAAGAGCTAGGGGTGCAGTGGTAGAAAGTGGTCTTAGCCTGTTACAGGTGCAGAGCCCTAGCTTCAATTCCAGAAGAGCTCAAGAGCGAGAGAGAGAAACGGAAAAACAGTAAGATGTACACGTCAGGACTCCTACATGAAAGTGAACTGACTACATGAAAAAAGCATTAAATTTATACATCATAAATATATTTTAACTCACCCTTTAAGTTTCACTGTTAGCTGTATTTTAGGTGAATATCCCATTATTGCACTTCATCATTGGTAGGCAGGGGAGAGTTCAGCCCCTGTCCCATCAAGGGGATCCAAATTAGCACACACTGAGGTCCCTTGTTTACCTAACACTAGGTGTTTGCTTATAACCTATACACATTCTCTTGTACACTCTACATCTTGTGTAGATTACATGTAATGCCCAATACAGTGAAAATGGTATGTAATTAGGTACAATATTGTGTTGTTTGGAGAATAATAGAAGAGTATATGTGCTCAGGACAGCTGCAATTTTTTTCAAACTTTCTGTATTTATGGTTGGTTGAATCCACAGATACAGGGTCCACAGATATGGAGGGACAACTAGATATTTTAAATGACATATGTGTAAAATTTAGGAATGTATGGGATTTTTTTTTAGCCCACAGGATGAATACCAAACAATGTTTAAAGTATAATTTTGTTCAGTTCAGTAACCCTTGCCTTAGATTTCAAATTAATGGAGTTGATTCAATACTCTCTTTTTGTCCTTTAGAAAGTATATGTCCCCAGGAAGAGAACCAAGAAGCCAACTCCTTCCATAAGCCAGTGGCAGCCATGTGGGCCAAGAGGAGAACCAATCAGCCAATCCTCTCCTGTGAGCCAGCAGCAGCCATGCAGGCAGAGAGGAGAACCAAGAAGCCAACCCTCTCCCTCAGCCAGCGCCCGGGTTAGGAGACAAGAAGAGCTGCGCTCCCCTCCCCCAGCTAGCAACCAGCTGATTCAGAGGAACACAGGCAGAGATGATAGCTACTGAAGTAAAAAAACAACTTGATGTTTGTATTGTTTGACTGGCTTTGCAGGCCTAAAGCCAGTAGTCTGAGTATCTACCTAAAGGATAATAATATGCAATATAGCAACTATGGGGGATTTCCTTCTGTCTTGTTTTTGAAATGCAATGTTGTTCTCACTGTTTTGTTTGGCTCCATTTTATTAATTTCCTTTAAAATAAAAAAATCTAAAAATTAAAAAAAGAAATTATATATTCCCAGTGTTTTAGGGAAGAAATGCTAGATTTCAAATCCTCATTTTAAAATATTAAATAACAATGCTGGCATTAAAGAAAAAAGTGGTACACACCTGTTATCCCAGGACTTGGAAGGCTGAGGCAGCGTTGCGCAAAACTGAATCCAGGAAAGGAACGACACCAGAGGAAGTTGAGAGGCAGTGAACAGCTTTATTTTACACCAGGGGTCCTGGCTGGAATAACTTCCAGCAGAAAGCTAGGCAGTGGGTGTCTGTGAGCCAGCATTTTTGTATGAGGCATACGCAGGGATTACAAAGGCAGAGCAGGACAGCCTGGCACTTCTTCTGATTAGCTAGCAGAGAGAGATCATCAGTTATAGGGCTAGATTGATGACCACAAACCTGAGTACAAGTAGACATCCTGAATATTCAGTCAAGCTATCATGGTTACAGGCGTCAAGAAAGCAGTTACAGAACCATGAAAAAATTACAGAGCTAGGCTGCTTCAAAGAGAATAAAGTCTTTAAAAACTTTCCTGGTACAGTTTTCCCTTTCAGCAGGATTGCTGCAAGTTCAAGGCAATCCTGGGCTACACAAAGAGTTCAGGGGACCAGCCTGAACTACATTGTGAGACCCTTTCTCCAAAAAAAAAAAAAAAGCCAAAAAAATTAAATAACATACTGTGCATCTCTTACACCAGAGAGATGAGAAGGCAACCCTCACTCGGAGAGTCTCGGTATAAATGAGAAGGCCCCCTGACTGTGATGCTCTCCAACTACCTTAGACTGTAGGTGATGTTTAGATGGTGGCCATCCAGCATAGGTTTATGCAGTTAATTGAGCACAAATTCCTCTGCAGAGAAGCAAGAGAAACTGCATAGCAATATCATAAACTAATACATAGCCATGAATAAAAATAAAGATGGTAATGAAATAAAAATAAATAGAAATGATATTTTAACTCTAAAAGGAAAATAACAAATATATTCATTTTAATCTATTTACTGTAGTGAAAACCTGAAAACCAGGTTTTGGAAATCTAGGAAATCAAAGAAGATAGAGACAACGGCCTAAGAGGAGGCACTGGAGGCAGGAGGCTGATATGGAACAAAGTTCTAGGAGCTGTTCAGAGAGCCAGGCACAAGGCAGCTCCAAATTCCATTTCACATGGTCTGCTTTTCTGGGACATAGCTGTTATCTGTAGGAAACTTGACATTCCGAGTTCTGTAAAACTGCTGTTTAGGAAATCTTATGACTCACACATTTTTGCTTTATTTTCCAAGGGATGGGATATTCTTTTAATTGCTAGTATACAAAAGGCATCTTTCCTCCAGAGAACAGAGGAATGCAGTGAAGAGTAACCCTCCACAAGGACTTGGGGAAACAAGAAAAAGTAAACACACCATTCAACGAGGAAGAGGTACCACTTTCTGGAGAACAGTTTTGGATCCGTTAAGAGGTGTTAGTCACCGGAGTCAGCTAAGGGAAAGCTAGGGGAGCGTTGCCAAGGCATTGCTCAGGTGTGTGACTTACAAAACTGCTGATAATTTTAAAGTGAACTAAAAGCAAGTGAAACTAGAGGGTTTTTTTAGATTATCTGGGGGAACAAACCTATTAAAGAATGGAAATGAATCTATCCTGTGGTAAAACTATGAATCATTAAAATTATGGTTAAAGAATTAATATGTAATAGAAATGAATGCCTATATAAAATTTGGGATGTGAAAAATATTTTATAATCACAAGATTAAAATTAAAATATAATTAACCTAATTTTTAAAGAAAGTATTAAGGTCATGTGATAATAGAAGTTTTTGCTATTTCAATTTGTTTCCACTTGGAAGGGCACTGGTGTTGAGACAGGGTCTTGCTGTTTAGACCATGCTGGCCTTGAACTCAAGGCAATCCTTCCTCTGCCTCCCCATTGCTGGGATTACAGGCATGTGCCACCACACCCAGCTCAGGTTTTTGTCTTAATTTTTTATCTTATGCATGATTCCTTTTGAGAAACAGAGCATGTAAAACATTTAGCAAAATTAATTAATTAAAAGTAAGTAAATAAGTCTGTCGAATATGTAAAAGGTGATACTTTTAGTGCTGATAATTTTAAATGATGTCTTACATTTTATAACAGCATGTCAACAAGGATATGCATATATATTCTTATTCAAATGAGTAAAAAATGTATTAAATTGGTAAAAAATAAAGAAACTATTCAAGCTACATTGAGCTTATAATTTATTTTTAACTGTAAACCACAGCAATCTGTCTCTCTGAAATGCATGAAAGCAAACATCTCCTTGTCGGGGTGGGGCTTTGGCTTGGGCTCTGGGGCTAAATACGAAGACTAAAGACCCAGAAATTTGCATCAAGTTGAAATTCCCACCAGCCTAGCTTGCAGGTGTGCTGCCCAGTTGGCTGGGGTCTGACCGTGAGCCCTAGCTGGCAGGAAACCAGAGGTACTGCTGTTCCAAGTGCTGGCTGCTGCCAGTGCTACCTGTGTGATCTTCTCTAGCTGACCCAAGTGGCCCGCCTGTGCCCCCGCTCCCTGTGTGTGCATCTCATGAGAAGCACTGGGGATGCTGGGGAACCAGGTCTCTTTTTCCAGCAGAGACCGTGGCCCAAGCGTAGCTGCCTGCTGACTTGGGTGAAGGGAAAAGGCACCATGTTCAGAGTGGCACTGTTGATAACAATAATAATAATAAAGTGGAGCTGTGCCAGTTTTAGTCTCAGGCTTTTCCCCGTCTATTGAAATTCTTGTACATATCTAACTTAAAATACACTTTGGCTTAGTCACTGTATTCATTGCTAAGACAAAACACATGACACCCACAGTTTAAAAGGAGGAGCGGTTTATATTGGCTCACATTTCGTAGGTTCCCGTCCATAGTCGGCTGGCTCCAAGGTGGGGCGTTGTGGCAACAGGACCTGGCAGAGGAAAAGCTTCTCACCTTGTGGCAGCCTGAAAGCTAGGAGAAAGAAACGGGAAGTGGAGAGGGAGATACACTCTTTCATGCCACACTCCCAATGACTCACCTCTTCCAGATCAACCCTACCTCTACCTCCAAGCTAGCTGTAGTACCCCATGCACTGACTCCCTCACAACCCCCCTCCCTCCAAATGTGTGAACCTTTTGAGGGCCAGCCAATTAGAAACCATAACACACTTAAAAACAAAGCACCTTCCTATGTAAAGAGCACATCAGTTTCTATAACTAAAATGAGAACATAATATGATAACTGATCCACTATCTCACTCAGTAATAGCTTCTGTTCTCTCCTGCAATGTGTGGAGTAAGCAGCCATGAGCCTCAAAACTCCAGGTCTCTAGGGCTATTTCCTTTCTGTACTGACAGACAACTAGCAAGCTGTTTATCCTCAGATTCTAGGAAAAGAAAACTTTTGAGCAGTCATCACAAAAACAAAATCTTCGTACCAGTCCTAAGAAAACTGCACTGATTTCTGCCGAGAATGGCTGATGCCTCCGTTCAATGGTGTAGGACCAGATACCCCACAAGCAAAGTTCAACTCTGAAACCGTCAGTCAGTCAAAAACTACTCGCAAGATGATAGTAACAGCAACGCTTTCTTCAGCTATTTAAAAAAAGTCAAAAACAAGTCCAACCTATACTTGCTATGAAACAGTTACAACTTACGACTACAGCAGCTGCCAAAATACCTCTGGGAAGAATGTCCTTAGAGACTGAAAAAATTCCTTTTCTGTGCCATACAAGAAAAACAGTTACCCAGCTCCAAAAGGAAAGAACCAAGTAAATCTAAAGGAGCTCTCTTTCAAGAAAAAATTTAAATCAGGCAACAACAGTTAAATCAGTTCCCCCCCCAAAAATTTGCCTTCAAAAAATTCTACCTTTAAAAAAATCCAAATAAGCAAAAAATAAACAGTTAACTCCATTCAAGAATAGACCAGCCGAGACAGCATCAGTAACAGCAGCTTTCAAAGCTGAAACAAAAAGTCTAAATAAAACCAAAAAGACAGCACCCACCCCTGCCCAGGGAGAGCTCATTCAGCCAGGAGCATCACCACAGAAAGGAAGACATCTGCAGGAAAATCTAAAATGTTAAAAAAAAATCTGTACTTTACCTTCTGAGAAATAATCAATCTAATACACTTAAGCCAGTACTAAACACTCTACCAACCACTATGAAAGACTGGATCAACAGAGCTCCTTGTTTAAACTTCCAGGAAGCAGCCAACCTAGGCAGGAGGAGGCAAACCTCCAGTTTCCAAAAACACTCTGGCTAAAGAAAAATGTAAAGACTAAGAAAAGAACCTTTTCTCTAAATCTATCAATAAACAACTAAGTCCGTTACTAGTTAAGAGAAAAGCATCTGGAAAAAGTAGCAAACTAAAAATAACATAGAAAGAGGCTATCAACCTCTGCCACACACAAACCATGGACCTACTCAACCACAACCAAGATCTCCAGCCATGAGGAAGGTCCAGATAATGTCTACAGCTGCCACAAAGCAACAGGAATGGCCAACGGCAGACCACATCTGGCAAAGCCTAAAACTATAAAGCTATTGAAAGAGAGAGAGAAAGACAGAGACAGAGAGAGAGAGAGAGACAGAGAGACACACAGAGAGAGAGAGAAAGAGAGAGCACTAGCTCACATCTAACAGCCCATCTCAGGCTAAGCACATCCCAAAAACAGATTGAACCTTCTTAGGAGGATGAGAGACAGCTTAAATTCCTTCAAGGGTTAAACAGATCGCCTCAGTTAGCAAGAAAAAATGGAAGAGTCTTAATGAAAGAAATATATATGTGCCAAAAAGAAAAGAAAAAAGATGGAGATTGAAGACATCCAAATCCAAAGGACCTAAATCTGTTCAGGAAAAGCTCCCACAAAAAAAGAAAACCATTCTGGGAAGCTGCAAAGTCTTTTCCACCACCTTCTCAGGCCTCTACTCCTAGAGCCCCTTTATGTCCACTTGCTAAAAATCCATTCATCAAATTAAACGTCCTAGTTCACAACCAAATCGGTCATGTACACAAGTGTCCTTGGAAGACTCATCAAATTTTGCCCACTTTTCCCAAGATTATAACCAAATTGCTACATCTCCATGCACATCATCACCAAGCCACCATCACCACGCCGACCAGTCCAACAGGCATTATGACTGAGGCGGCTGATTCAAACCATACCTCAGCCTAACGACTGCCAGACATCCCACTGCTAACTCACTCATCACTAACTAACTCACCACATTCAAGAACAAAGTATCTATGTCAGCCTCTTAACTGGTGCAAGTGCCACCCCTAGTGAATCAGATGCAACAAGCAGCACACCTGAAACTGCCCCAGATGACTCCCAACACAGCCCTGGTGACGTCAGCCACCACGCCTCAGCAGTATGTGCTCATCAATAGGGCCAGCCTCCACGTGACACACCCAGCATCCGCGCCAGCCTCAGCAATGCCTCAGTGCAACTCACACCCAGGAGCATCTGCTTCCAGGGCCACAACTACCAGTGTGGGGGCCAGTTCCACACCTCCGCTAGCCTGCGCCTCTGCCCGCCGCAGCATCTGATCCTACCTGAGAAGACTCAGAAGCTGGAGTGCACACTAAAGGTGATGCCACTCTCCGGGCCACAGGTGCTTCTGTTACACCTGAGTGGGCCAAGAAGAGTCCAGGTTCTTGCGTACAAGGAAAGAACCATGAAGCATACCTCTTGCTGTATACAGTGCTATGGTTTTTGAAGATCGTGGTACAGGGGAGAGAGCAAAGGGGAAAAGGAGGAGTATGAGGAACACCTGGTAACTCAGGCTTCCAGTATTTTTTTAAGTGAAAAATTTCCAGTGCGTTTTATTTGTAACGTGGCCATATTCAAGATGTTGTGGGAAGCATCTGAACTGGCTGAGCTCTCAGTAGCAATGAAAGGCAGGACTTCTTTATGCATTCTTTTCCCTTCTCATAAGCAGAAGCAATCTTTGATCATTAGCTATTTCAAAAACTTGTATGATATGCTTTAGCTTTCTTTGTGTGCCGTTTTCATGTTGAATCTCAACATCTTCCTAATAATGTCTCAAAAGTCATTGAGCTCTGACTCTTATCCTGATGCTTCTTCCAGTGTGCTCTTAGCTGTGAAGAGCTGAGGGCTGACACCGTTTAACTCATCATGAGCCCTCTCTTTCTCTGATCTTGCCTCTTGTTTTGCAGAATCTATGGTAGTTTTCAAATTGTCTGTTTTTATAACTGCCTTGTTTTAGACTTTTGTCAACCATTTCCTGAGATTTTTAATTGCTGTGTCTTGACAGTTGACTTTTCATAGTTTTATTTGACGATTTCAAATCACTGAAGTTTCTGGGTTTTGAACTCCAGTCTTAGTGTTGTAGCAACTTGCAAATTCTGTTGAATATTCAATAACATATCTAAGCATTTAAACTTGCTGTGCTTATCTGTCAAGGAATTCTGTTCTGCAGAGTTCTCCTTTGAAGAAATTAATTCCTTCCTGTCCAAGGCTAACTTCCCCTGAAGAGTCATCAATAGCAATGTTTCCTTCTAGACATTTCAAGGGTCTGTTTGGTTTCTTATAATTTTCTCCAGTGTGAGGGGATTCTTGAGCAGCCTCTTCATCACCTGATATAGCTGCTTCTGTTGCTCAGGAACCTTCTGAATCTTCTGCTCCTGGCCTTCAAGTCTACATTTTCACTATGGTTCATTTGCACCGATTTCTTGAACCCTTTCCTTCACAGCATCCTCTGTGGCTGGGGTGGGGCCACTGCTGTCTCTCGGAATAGCAGTCTGCTAACTGAGATCCTGATATTGAGACTGAGAAATTTTAATTTCCCAGCTGCATGAGGTCCATCAGCTGGGAAGGTCCATCTAACTCATGTTTGTTTTTCCTCATGGAACAAATCTCGCTGAGATTTATCCTAAATTCTGCAGATCATTTGATCCTTCAGAGTGAATAATGGCTCTCTCAGACTTTCTGGCCAGGAATGCTTTGTCCTTATCCTTCACTAGAAAAATATCCAAAGAATCTTCTTGTCCCTTTGTATTCACAGGAGGGAATCTGCTCCTACATGGCAGCTTATTCACCACAAGGTCTGCTTTTTGCTCTGCTTTCTATTTCAGCCAGATGTACTCTGAGATGGTTTTCTAATTCAGTAATTCTTTTAGTTAGATTCCAGTTGTGTCTTTCAAGACTCTGAATACTGGAGTTTTTCAAAGACTTAATTCTGATGAGGGAAATAAGTTCCTGGAGGCCTTGCCATCAGGGACATGGTCTGGAATGACTGGTGTTCTTTGCACTTTGCTATTTCAATCTTTGTCTCTTGCAATGAAGTCTGTTCTCCGAAAAGTTTTCTTTAGAGAGTTAGCTCAGTTAAAAGATTCTTGTTTTTCCTCAGCAAACCAGCAAAAGTAGGATGCACTGGGTCAGCTGCCTTTGTGAAGCTCATGCTCAGGTTCCTAGTGGTAACCACTTCAAGAGGCGATTAAAGAAGCCTTTCCAGTGATCTCGGTGGACCCTCCAGTGGATTCAGGAGAGTGAAACTCTCAGTCAGTTTCGTGTCCAGTACAAATTTATGTTCTCTAATATCAAAGAATGAATTTTAGGAACAACAGAGGCTAAGAGCAGAATATAATTATTGAGAAAAAGAAAGCTTCTGTCTGGGAGAAAGAAGGGATCTGAGCGGGTTGCCTGGGCTTCCAATATTTAAAGGGTCTGAGCCTCTGACTCCAGTGCCTCCCACTCCACCTCTCACTGATGTGTGTTGCAATCTCCTAGGCACAGTTATGGATCATCATTAGGGTGGCACTGCGCTTATTGCTAAACGAGGGGAAGGCAGCTGCTGCCTCAACCTCCCTGCTTCTGAACAGCTCTGCCAGCTCAACAAATGTCTCTACAGCTTCAGCAAACACAGGTACTACGTCTCCTGCTGTTGCTGCCACCACCGCTGCAACCACATCATCCACACCTGCTGAGGTCCCTAGTGCAATGCTATGCTGCCACCAGCAGCAGTTCCAGAGCAGCCACTCTGCTTGCTTCTGCTGCCATGGAAATGCCTGCAGCTTCTGCCTCTGCTCTTCTGGGTCTGCCACAGCTGCAACCACTGTGTGATGAACTCACCACACAGTCACACCAAGTTCAGCCAACACTCATGTAGTGCATCTGTCACTCAAACGACAGATGACACAGCTACCTAAGCTGCCAGTGAGTGAAGAAACCAACAGTTGGCGGATGATGCAGTGACTGTAGCTTCCCCCACACCACTTGGTACAGTCACAGCTGGTGCCCCTGATTCCACAGTCACAGAAACAGACTTCACATTTGCCTTCAATTAATTCCCACAATTGCTGGATCCTGACCCCAGCACTGATGAAAACAATTGTCACCAACTCAGAAATAGCTGTCACGACCAGTGCTCACTCCACAACCTTAACCACCAGTAACACAGCTGCTGCTGGCGGCACAGCTAAAGCAAGTAGCCAGGGCAACTGAGTAAGGACTTTGCCCTCTGACTGCTGCCTCTGTGCCCAACTTGGTCTTTTTCCTCAACAAGAATGATTTTAATTATTATGTTTTAAATTTAAATTCAGTTAACTCTGGTTTCCTATAAGTTTCATTTGTTGTTCATTTTTTAAAATACTTTTTAAATAAGTTTCTTAATGAATACATATTAGTACATACTGCTTACATTCCTTGTGGGGAGTTGATACGTGGACCTAATACCTCTTAATTCTTTTTCTCATTTCCTTTCCTTTCTTTTCCTTTCCCCCCTCCATCTCCTGATCCCCTGCTTTAAGAAAGACCTAGCTCCCTACTTTCTAATATCTATAATTCAGTTCATAAATGCTTCTGTCTGTAAACAAGTTATTTTAATTTGGCAAAATTTTGTTTCCATTTGTGAACTCTGAATCCAGGGATGAACACAACAGCAGCCACCTTTAACTGTGAAATAAATTAAATTCATGATTCAAGGTACCACTGTATTTTGCTCTTCATTTATACTTTTTGGTCACTC